GATATTCAAGTAATCTAACCTATTTAGGGATTTGTATAATGAATTTAATAAAACAGCCGTATCGAGTATGTTTCCTTTTTGCGCTGCTCAGACGGTGAGGAACCTACTGCGGTACCAAAGGGCCCACTTTCGATACCCATTAAGACATTGCTGTCTGTCCCTTCATAGGAGGTAACTGTGGCCCAACTATTAGGTACTTCTACAATAAAGTCGGCTAAGTACCCGCTAGTGAGGGAGGGGTTCGTTTTTGCAGATTTCGAATACAGAACGAATTTCGAATAGGTCTTCTAAATGCGCAATGAAGTGGTAAGTTTTAAAATAAATATATCAGAATAGTTACCGGCACGATGCTTTTAAGAGCGTTTTTTCTATTATTGACGAATATTTTTTGACTGATTTTACACTCCATATAACATGAGTAACAAGGGATATTCCGGTATACGTTTGATATTCAACCATGTCTATGTACCAGAAAAGCAAAATGTAACGATCCATAATGCACTCGCCTAAATTCGTTTTATTATTTTTAGGCTGTTAAATTTTTGAAACAATAGCACTTTTTTCATATGAATCAAAATTAAATTGAAAAAAAAAAAAAAAAAAAGACTGCATAACCTGGAATCGAGCAGGAAAAAAAATGTTTTATCCCGTACTTTAAACTATTCTTACCCTTTAAAACATCATCATCACCGCCGTAACGTCAGACATGTAAGTGGTGTTTCAGAGTTTAGAATAAAATGTTACTTGGGGTCAGGTCTGATGAATTTAGCACGTGGGGAATAAGCTGAAATCGTTATTGCCAAATGTCAATCTGAGATTTGGGCGTTACAGCATTGTCGTACAAAAAGGTAATATTTCTGCTCATTTTTCCACAGCTTTTGTCATTATGACATGTTATATAACAGGTCTGTGTCGTGATCTTACGTAGCCACATACGCCATTTCCACTTATGGGGTATATAATCAGCAAACAGTAGTCCCAACTGCTTCTAAAGAATGGTTCTCAAAATCGTTCCAGCAGATTTCAATGTTTTAAATTTTTGTAAAGTCCGAGCAACCCCACCAAATTTCTACACTATGCAGTCGTGCTACATTTTTGGGTCACAATTATTCAGTCAGTCACTGTTAATAAAATTTCATCTCTGTTAGTATGGAGAGCAGATTTTGAGAACATTCAGCTCAATGTTTCTTATCTCTGGCGTCATTATTTTGGGTACCAGTTTGAGGCAGATCTTCGTTACTTCTTTCTTTGAAGGATGTTTACATACAGGATTTATTTCACTCATCCAACGCTCATGCTTATTTGCATAGCAGTCTGAGAAACTCTTACCGTCTGTTTTCCACAGCAGTGGTTATATCGCCACAAAATTTTTTCGGTCGCGGGCCAAAAATCGAGAAAAAAAAAGTTTGGCGGGCCAAGATAAATTTTTCTGAAATTTAAGAACAGTATACAAGTATTACAGTTTAAATATGTTAATGAGATAAATGAAATTGCAATTTTATTTTTGAAAGTTCCTTACATTGAGGTTCGAAGTGAGTTGCACTGCTTCTAAAGAACGAGGCTAAATGCTCAGTCTACATCTGTCAGTCTACATCTGAAATAATTCTTTTTAAGGTTCGTAGTTGAAAACACTTGTTCACATATATAAAATGAAACAAATATAGCACTGATTTTCTGGACGTGAGATATTAAATTTGGGAGAAACTTGCTTTCGATAATGATTTGTAGAACTTTCAATTTGGCATATTTAAAAAAAACTGCTTGAAATGATTGACAGATTGCAACTCAGATAATTCAGGCTGCAAATCTGACCTCACTACTTCACAATTTACGTTAAAAGACATGGTAAAAATATCCAATTCATTTTGAAATCTTGAAATCTGCGTTCGAACTCAAAATGCAGTTTTTTCAAGCCATCTTCATAATTCTTAAGCTTCTTTTCATTTACTGAGGGGTATTGAATTTAACCTCAGGAAATGAGACAAGTCGTTCTTAGCTAGCTGCTCAGCAAATAGATTGTTTTACTTTAAAAGCTTTGAGATGAGTCTAGATATCGTCGATAAATTGATTTTTCCCTTGCATCTTGAAATTCAAGTTGCTCATATGATAAAGATCTGAAAATGCAAAGTACGAAAGCCAATCTGTATCTTCTGACATTTCGCACTCCGCAGAACACTGTTTTTCATGGAAGAACGACACGCTATCTTCTTTCAACTGCCAAACTCGCTCGAAAGCACATCTGCACTAAACCACCTTACTTTCATGTAATACAGTACATCAGGGTATTCAGATTGCACGGACTGAAAAAAATCTCGAAATGGCCTGTGAGTAAGCCCACGAGATCGAATAGTATTTACAAGCTTCACGACTGCAACAAGCACGGGTTTCATATTCAATTGCAGATTTACAGAGCATCTTGATGTTTAACACAATGTAGAAAAATAACATTGTTCCCGGGATAGTTTTGATTAAAGAGTCCAAGAAATATAGATTTTTTTCCTGTCATATTTGGTGCTTTATCGGTCGTAATATCACATATATTTGTTACAGGCACATTTTGAAATTCATAAAAAAATATCACATCCCGTTGTAGTTTTCTTTAAAGAGCACATGCAAGCAAGTTCCTCGTTAATTTCAAAGTTCTCATAAATACCTCTTATAAATAATACTAATTTAGCAGTATCTTTTATATCGATGCCTTTTATCCATAGCTATAGAGCAAAATTTAAACTGGCCAATCTTTGGCTCTAATTGTGATGTCAAATTTTTGTCGATGTCTTCGATTCTAGACATCACCGTTTTTCGAGATAACCTTAGTCTCAATTTTTTTTTCTTGTCTGGACATAAAACATCACAAACTTGGAGCATGCATTGTTTAACGAACTCCCCATCACTGAGATCTTTATTATTTTTAGGCATATTGTACACTACAATGTAACTTGCATGCGTAGTTACATTGTTACTCTTGGATACTGTTTACGTTCTTGAAAAAATTTTGTCGGCCTGATAATTTTTTTTACAAAGACCTTCTGCGTTTTGTTTTCTTTCATATTCAGGCATTGCTTCTTAATCGGAATTCTTAAGCTTGGATTTGAAATGACGGGAAATGTTATATTCTTTGAAGACAACTACAGCTTCATTGCAAATGAGACACATTTGGTTTATCTTTTACAACTGTAAAAAAAAATAATTCCACGTCCATTCATCAGTAAAAGCACGGCACTCTGAATCAACTTTACGTTTTTTAGTATCCATTTTGGCGTTGAAATATTTTATGAATAACCCAAACATATTTTTAATTAATTTCATCACTATTCACAATTATGCTATATGTTCGCAATCTTTCCATACGCAATCAATATTAGAACTCGCGCCAAAAGAAAATGACACCGGCCGGAGCTTAAAAATGCTCAGTTTGCCACATATGAGGTCTGATTCTCTTATATTTGTTAGGTTTTTTCGGTCGCGGTGAAAATTAGGTTATTCAATGACGACAAAGCCTCGAGGGCTATCTGCCTAAGGGGAGGGATGCCTTCGTGGAGGACTTTCTAAGGAAAACTGGCTCGTATACACGTTCACATGGGGAAAACTACGAAAACACCTATGCAGCCAGTCCGTTCGAGGGATTCGAACCTCAGACCGAACTACAAGTGTTCAGCGCCGCTCGGCCGCTGGCGAGCCCTCCTATATTAAATTCCCATATGTCTGCTCCTCGAGAAAGATAACGCTTGTTGGCGCCAATCTACAGCTACAACTAATAAAGAACTTCCGCTTTTAACCCTTTACCGATTGAAAGCTATCTGTGCTTGCTATTTCCGTCTATTTATGTTTTGTAGAACAAAAGTAGAGAAAGTAAAAAAATCATCAGTCCTTTGAAAAAAAGGAAGAGAAACAATATTTAAATGAAGTGGAAATGGAGATGTACATATAATATCTAAATATATATTTCTTTTAATTTGCCTCGGACTGACAAATTAAAATTCTATCCGCGGGCTGGATGTAACTTTCCGGCGGGCCATAGTTTGTCAATCCCTGATCTAAACGTAGCAGCTCACCTTTTGAAGGTGGCATAGAAATATTGGAGTAGCTAGAGCTTTTGCCGCTCGAGTAATTCTTGGATCAACACCTCTTCGTAGACAGCAAACAAGATAAAAATATTGAATACAAATAGGAAAATAAATTAAATTCTAGTTTTGAAATAAAACTCGAATATTTTAAAATTCTGTTTTCTTGTTTTTTCTCAGAAAAATGCTCGACTTTGTTAAATTCTAATCTCAGCTGTCTTTCGTGCTCATTTATTCATAAGTCATAGGTACATCGGTAGACTATTTCTCATTAGAAAACTCCTCTCTCAGCAAGTAACACTTAAAGCAATGGTGAGGGAAAAACTAGTAGTAGTGCTCGTATTACAACGTTTCTAAGTGTGTTCTGGAGATTATATTATAGAACAAACTGTCAAATTTCAGAGCGACTATCCTCCATGTCTGTTATGTACCCAGCAATAATAGGAATAAAAATCTGTAGTAATATTTCTCCTCAATAAGGAATTCTTTTCCTTGTTAATGAAATTGGGATAATTGTCATACTTTAGTCGGAAATCACGTTTTTCATCCATTAATTTCAACGAAAAAAAGGCATAACATGGACAGGAAAATGCTGAAATCTCATCGTGAATTCTTTGGATATTCTGTTCAGATAATAAAAAAAATCTTTTTCTGCTCAAATCGGTTCTGTATGATAATTCAGTATTGTATAATTTTCACTTACTAGATTATTCTTTCTGCTTCGACAATCTTCGACTTACTGCGATACTTTTCGATGTCACTGCGTAACTTATATCGTAGCTCTCATTTAACCATTCATTCGAAGTCTTATCTTAATCATTGGCTGAAATAATGATAATTTGAGGTACATTTGAAGTTTAATAATTTTTCATTTTAATTTTTTAATTACTATAACAATGCAATATATTACTAATTTCCAAATATTTTCCTTTACAGGTATCAAGAAGAAAGTGTATAATGTATTTTGAAGGTAATGATGAATCGGTGCATTTTGAATTGTATAAATATACCGGAATTATTCCATGCGCACTGACTTTTATAGCCTTGTGCTCAGCATGTCTATCGACAAGACGTCATCGATATAACAGTTTGCTGTGGCCCACTGTTTTCAACTTTTTAACCATACTCATTGCCAATGGTAGCATATTTTTCTTTGAAGTTCCCATTAGTATTGGTGATGCTTTGATAATGTCAGGAATTCTGGGCGCTTATTCTATGTTCATGCTATGCAGCAGTTATCGACGACCAAGTTTACGTTCATTTTGTGTAACAGGATTTGTAATTATTATTCTAGTCTTCCCTAAAATAATTACTATTCTCCTGGAACATATGTGGCACATTCTGACAGTAAAGTACATGTACAGCTTTTTCATAGGTATGTTTTTCATTATTGTGAGACAGCTGTACATTATATATCTATTGGAGACTTCCAGTGGCAATCTTCGTTCCTTTCCAAAGCGAACACGTTCCAAGCATGAGTGCAGATATAAGGAACGTAAAGGTGTGTCTCAGGATACATTGGATATGACAGACAGTGATACAGAAGCTACAGCAACATCATCTGAGATTGAGTCGTGAGATGATCACCAATGATTAATGAAGCAAACCTAAATACTAATAACCATTGTAGAGTGAATTAATGTTATTTTTCTATTGGAAATATTATCGTATAACTTTATAGCTATTTAAAATAACTATTTTAAAGTGATAATACTTTTAACTTTTTACTCTAATATTTGAAGTGCTAAGTCATCAAATGTTCCTTTACCGATAATAATTTATAAAATAAGTGTCAAAATTGTATTTGATTTTAAAAATTTAAATATATTTATATACATTTTTTCATAATGTTTACTTTCCGTTTGGATTCTAAGCTGGTAATCTATTCAAAGGAAGACAGGTTTGGGAGGGACTCATTCCCTCCTTGATAAATAGGTGTACATATTCCTACATAAATTTTACTATTAAAATAATAAATTAATCTTTTTACGACTTTTTATGCAAAATTTTTTTGAAATCCTGTTACGATTTACGAGATGTGAAAAAAATATATAAATACAATTTTACCAACTTGGAGCATCAACTGATTTATAAGATTTTAAAGAACCTAACTCTTGTAGAGGAAGCTTTCATTTATTAATCAGTAGTGTAAAAGCTGAAATTGTCTTGTATTACAGTTTAATTTGATTGAACAAGTGTTTAAATGAATGATTTTGAAATTAGCATTCATATTGCATATATTTTCGCATTTTCTAGAATGTGAAGCTTGAAGCAAGAAGTTTAAAATGTAGGCTTTATTCAAATTTTACTGTTTATTTGTTCATGAAATATTTAAATAAAAATTTCCACTATTATTTTAGCTTATTTATTTTTTATCCAATTGACATATTTACCTGCTCGCAGTTGTTATAAAAATTAAAGTAACATACCCATTTGACAGATTCGTAATAAAAAAAAAGCATTCTACTTAATGAATTGGAAATTAATGTTCATGTTATCAAATAAAATGTGTAAAATTTATTTGAAATCAATTCAGAAATACTCTGTGTAAGGAAAATCTTCATTGATAATATCCACGAAAATAATAAGACATAATTATCCTCAAATTGAATATCTTATACACGTCAACATACACGTATTTTTCTATGATAGTCCCGATAAATAAGAAAACACTAGAAAATATAACGCGCTTTGATATTACTAGCATGGTAAAAGGTGTAAAAGCTGTCCCATTTTAAATGTATATATTTTGGTGCTCAGTAAGCGTGGTTCCCAAAATTGGAGTCGCGACAATTCCAAAATAAATGTCATTTATTTTAGTAACATTAGAAAACCAAAGTCAGTATTTTAATGAGACCTATGCCTGTTTTCCCAAAACTAGCTTAAGTCTAGGCTCAACATTTGATATACACATCAAGGTAGATGTGCGACCCGAGACAGATGCGACAGCACCAATACGGTCCCTGCCGAGCCTTAACCTGCAACCGGAGCAGCTATGGTTCTAGTCCTGTTGGACCGAGTCTGCATTAAGTACAGATTTCCTCCGTCGACTCCCCCCCCCTGTGGTGAATCTGACACACACGCACACTTATATCATTTCGAGGAGATTTCTTATTTTTATTTTAAATAAACATGATGCTACAAATAAAATTGACAGCTTCATCCGCCAACTGTGGGTATTCATGCATCTTTTTAGTACAAAAATGGTCCGAGTTCTGGGAATAAATTTCGAATTTCAGTATTCCATCACTTGATACTTCAAGTTTTTCTTTCATGTTCGTTGGTATCTCAATGTGTTGAAAGTATTCATCTAAATACGGGTTCAGTATCCATCAGTAACTGTCATAACTATTTTGAGTTTCTATGGGAGAATAGCCACAGAACTGTTGCTTAAAACTGGGCAAACTTACATGTCTGCAGAAAGTGCTCAAAATTTGAAATATTATCCACAGGCTTAAATATATCTTCCGTAAGTTCTTGAATGCAATGGAGTGAATCAAACTGCGTTTAGCCAATTGAAGTCGACCATGCATCAATTTTTCTTATAAATCTCTTCATTTCATCTGTGACTAATTCTATCAAAGTAGCGGCCTTGTAAATTACTGTTCAAAATAATTAGGTGTTGCAAATATCAGCAAGGAAAGCTAGCCTGAGAACCGAGGACAGTTGGAAAATAGGATCTCGTGTGAAGATTTCTCATTTTGCAAATACAGTACCCCCTTATTAAAATCACTTCCAAATGTACTCAAGTTTTACTAAACGGCCGAGTTTAATAGACGGCGAATTGTTGTACTGCAAATCTGATTTCAGTTTAAACTTTTTAAAGTAAAATAACTAACACCTAATTCAATAATGAATCCTAAACTAATAATAAAAAATGAATGCAAAAATTAAGCAATTTTGAAATTTATTGTTTTTATAAAAATATTTTAATTACGTTCTTAATGAAATTTTATCTCCTGTAAAAAAACTAGTCTGTTTCATATCATTTAACAACAGTTTCTCAGTTGTATACTGAATTTCACAAAATTGCTGGTAGCATATTTGACCAGTACTTTTTATTTCAAGTGTTTTGCTTAGAACATGCAGTGCTTTTCAAAATTATATTGATGACGGCATGCCATCACTATGTTTTTGTCTAACTGTTGCTGTCAGTTTCTACAGTTCTTTTACCACCTTCTTAGCCAGTTTTTATATAGGTTGTCTCAAAATTCTAAATTGGAACATATTCTAAAAACAAATCTTCATATCTTCCCTCGCTGATTTCTGAAACATTAGCCATAGTCTGCAATTCCTCTGAGGCGGCTTCTAAATATAAGCCATCCTTTTCACAAAATTCAGCTCTGTTTATTATTTCCTGAACATCTTTCCTATAAGGGTATTTAAAAGATTTTATAAAAAATCTAAAATTAAAGGAATTTTAGACGTTGTATATGCTGGAACACACACTGTTTTTTGGAAAGATATCAGAGGTCCATGTGCTGCAGAGTTATAATTAACAAAGTTATTTTCTACTCTCTGCCCCATTTCAAAACAAAATTAGTAAAATACTATTTGTTATCCATTAGTTCTTGTTGCTATCGTAAGTCAGAAGTAAATTTTTGCCTCCTTTCAAATACAAAGATCTTTTGTCAGTAATTAGTGTCTCCTTAACTGTTTAATCCATATTGTACGTTAATAAAATGGTAACTTATTTCTTCAGTTTCTTAAACCAACTGCTATTTCCCTTTTAAATACTGATGTATGTTCTGATGGTAATGTTCTGTAACGCAGTCAATTTTCGTCTGTAGTATATAATTCTTGTGGCATGTATTCGTTTAGTAGCTAAAGTAAAGCATCGTTTATTCAGTTATCAGCTGCGTGGTAATTTTTCTTCTTTCTCGCTAGGCAGTTTCTGGTGAACAATGTTGTATTTCTCGAATTAGTGAGCCACTTTAATAACGCAAATTTCTCTTCTAACATTTTAAGAATTAATGAAAAAAGTTCGAAATAAAGCACATTTTAGTTTCATGGCTTGAAAGGTTTGCATTTTCTATTAGGTCTTCTTTGAAAGTTTTGCATTTTCTATTAGATCTTCGTGAATTATAATTCCTTATTAAAGTAAACTACACAATGCTGTTTGGGAAATTCCCAGTTTAAATATAGTGTTTCTTTAGCTGCAATTACCAAGAACATTAAAATATTTAGCGATTTATCCTTTTCTTTCATGCTTAAGTCTTTTTCACGTGGCATTTTCGAAATGTTTTAGTAAATTTTGAAAATACTTCTTTCATCGAAATCCAGTGCAAACAAAGAACTCTGAAAACAACGTTTCATAGGTACGAGGATTACAGAAGAGTAGAAAAATGTCATTTAAAACAGTTTTATTGAAACACTACATACCTGAACAGTAAAGCAAGCCTTGGTCCACAAATACGTTAAATGAAAAGCATTGGCAGATACAAATAGAATATTTTTTCACCGGAAAACTAATTTTTTGCCAAGCTGATTTCAGTAAACGGAGGTTTTCCTGTTCATTTGGAAATTCGAATGCAATAAGCGGCTTAGTTTGCTAACTTATAGTTTAATTAGTAGCGCGTACTATACGTAAAAAATTATGCTCTTAACTGAAAAATTCTTTTTAAGACGTTGCCCTATGAAAGCCAACTTAAGTATGATAAAGATGACCGATCCATAAAGAAAAGAATTTTTGAAAAATAAGAGTCTGGAACGTCTTTCCCTTGATGGATTTTGCCATATAAATGATGCTTTACATCAGAAGTCCCGAACCTTTTTGTCCTCAACAGCACATTCTAGAATATCTGTTGGATGGCGGGCACAATTTACTTTTTCAAGGTGAATTTATGCCCACCAGCGGCCGAGCGGTAAAGTCGCTGAACACTGGTAGTTCGGTCCGAGGTTCGAATCCCGCGAACGAGCTGGCTGCATGGGGCGTTTTCTCCATGTGTAACGTGTATACGAGGCAGTTCTCTTAAAAAGTCCTCCACGAAGGCATCCCTCCCCTTAGGCAGATAACCCTCGTGTGCTTTGCCATAATTAAATACTCCAACACCAAGGTGAATTTATAGTTGGATAGAGTTTGTACATGCACAGAGATCGGTTGCATTTCACTTTGTGCTGGTATCTGTGTTGGACGCAATTTCTATTTCATTAAAAATGAGAAAAACTTTCATATAGAAATTTATCGAAAATTAAAACATTTTTGTGATCACAGGGCGGCGGGCATGCGTTAAACCATCGGCGGGTGCCATGGTGCACGCGGAGGTTGATTGAGAACCAGTTTTACGTAACATTAATCCATTTCAGATGGTAAGTTTTGGACACAAGAGCTTCTCAGCATAAAAAGTGTTTCCATGAGGCATTACTACTTGCAATTTGAATTTAAGACCATATCGATGTCCTTTTATAGCTTTAGTTCTATCTATTCATAAAGCAGTGCATTTTCTCCAATATTATACTTCTGCTTTTCATAAAGGTGTTGAATAAGCATACTTCGGTGGTGCTGGTCTCTAAAAGTTTTGCTTTTTGTATCGCATCTTACAAATAATATTCTTTATATCGTTCTTACGAAAATTATCAATTGGACACAATTAGATATAAAAGTTGGTTATAAGAAAACTTCCCCAATGTATGCATAAATTGAGCTTGTTTCAGTCGTAGAACATTGCAGAAGAATTTTGGTACATATAAATGTTGGTTATTGATTGAAATCATAAGCTTGTTGATAGTTAAAAGTTGAAATAATACTATTGATATTAAACATAATCGATGGTGTAAAGCATGGATCAATGCAAACATTTTGAAATTTTAAAATGAATTTTCTAATTATTATAGAAAAATGGCATAAAAATTGATTTGCATGTTCAACAAATCCATGACTGTAAGCGCACTGCTGTCAATGTGCAATACTTATTGCTGCTTAATTCAGAGACATTCCTGAATAGTTTTATGTTCGAACTGGAACACTGTGTGGATGTATTGAACATACTGGTGAAAATAAAAAATTAGTATTGAAATGCTGAGCCAAATATAATAAAGGTCTTTGATTCTATCTCAAGGATTAAAATGTTGTAAAAGCTAATAATAATCCAACAAATGTTATTTTTTAAGTTTGTTTGGCAGATTATAAAGCAGGAGACCATTCTTGTGACATTTTCCCATTTAAAGATATTATTTTTTTTAAGTTCAGTTTATTTTTAGCAAAATATAATGAAGACTAGTTAAATGCATGCTTCAAAAGAAACCTTTATACAATTTTAATTGAATGCATCTAAAATTTTTTGTTATCTTAAGGAAACAGAGAATGCGATAAATTTTGCAAGTCTGTTACGTACCCTCTGTTACCTTCCCCCTC